AAGGTCCTTCTTGCGGATCTGTTGTCGGGGCTCATCACCGTTGCCTTGGGACATGTGGATCCTCCTCTCTCCTTTCCTTCATAGCCTGGCAAAAAGCTTCTTCTAGCTGGGGGCTCAGTGCTGGGAAAGAGAACTGTGGTGCTCCTCACCCTTCTCTGCAGCTAGCACTGGTGCCCAGCCCACCAGGGAATAACAGGGGTGGGCAGGGAGGATCTGGCTGCCCCCAGATCCAAATAAGCCCCTTTATGCCACCACCCCTCAGCACCCAAAGCAGGATATCCCCAGCTCTCCTGATCCCCAGGACCTTGTGTTGTGTCCCCAGGTGGCTTTAGAGCCCACTGGGAGCTGGTGTTGGTCCTGGAGTGGGGAGCTGGGACAGGACTGAGATGCTGGGGGACTCAGTGGTGCTGTGGGAGTGCAGAGAGACCTAGGGACACATGGCAGTATGGAAGGGTGCCTGGGTGCTTGAGATGGTGTTTGCATGTTGGTGGCCAGAGGTCAACCCCCTCCCTGGTCATACTCAGGTGGGAAATGGATATTGACCGAGGCTTTGTTGCAGGTGGCCCAAGCTGCCCACTCTGCTTGGAGGGACATCCAGAGGAAGGTCCTTGCTGGGGCTGAGAATGGCACAGTGTTAGACTTGTGGGATGCCTAATGTCCTGTCACTTTTGGGGCCAGGCCATGGCACAGCCATGGAACTGCATCTTCAGGCTGCCCATCCCCAAATCCCTGTGGCAGGGGCACCCAGCAGCTCCATGGCACAGAAATGAGAGCAGAAGGAGGCACAACAGGAGGCACTTGCCTCTCTGCTGCCGTGGTAGGGTCTGAAGGGCATAAACAGGTAAACAGCTGCTCCAAGGGTGCTCTGACCATCAGAGACAAACAAGGAGCTGGGTAGACATTGATGTTATCCATAGTGGACAACTCACCCTGTGACAAACACATACAAAGGCAACAAAGGTGAAAAGGGTGTAGGAAACCCATTTCATGCTCCTCGCTGCCCTACCAGCGTGTGGGAACCCCTTGCCTGGTTCCTGGTCTCATCCAGCCTCTCTCCTGGTCTCCTTTCATCCTCACACCCATCTCTTGGCAGGTGCTGTCCCTGGGTGCTGATGTCCTTCCCGAGTACAAGCTCCAGGCGCCGCGCATCCACCGATGGACCATCCTGCACTACAGCCCCTTCAAGGCCGTGTGGGACTGGCTCATCCTTCTGCTGGTCATCTACACAGCTGTCTTCACCCCTTACTCAGCTGCCTTCCTGCTCAATGAGGAGCAGGTGGAGGAGAAGCGCTGGGACTGCAGCTACTCCTGTGACCCACTCAACATCATCGACCTCATCGTGGACATCATGTTCATCGTGGACATTGTCATCAACTTCCGTACCACCTACGTCAACATCAACGACGAGGTGGTGAGCCACCCTGGCAAGATTGCCATCCACTACTTCAAGGGGTGGTTCCTCATCGACATGGTTGCTGCCATCCCCTTTGACCTGCTCATCTTCCGCTCCGGCTCTGATGAGGTAAGGACTCGGTCTGGAGGTCCGTCGGGACAGGAGGGGACTCATGGATGGACAGGGAGAGGTGTATGGGAGAGAAAGAGATGGAAGTGGTGGATGGCTAGATCAGCAAGGAGAGGTGGGATTAGTCAGAGGGGTGGGCAAGGATGTCATTCCAGGCTCTTATAAAGCAGCTGGGACCTGGGATTTCATTCTGTAGGGTCAGGCAGCTCTACAGACCCTACTGCAAGGGCTCAGTGTCTAACTGGACCCGCTTCCCTTGCTGGGGCTGACCCAGCAGAGCAGGCTGGAGGCTCAGTTTAGGGACTGGCCCCACACACAGGGATCAGTTTGCCAACCAGACTCAAAATGTTGACAATGGGGTGGCCCTGTGGTTTCTGCACTACCTGGAGGCCCCACATCTGGGAGTGTAAGGCTGCTGTTTCAGGAGCAATGGGTGGCAAGGTGAGGAACCACAACATGGGGTTGTCTTGGCTACTCCCACTTACTCACCTGTAATCCCAGAGCTTGTTACCTTTAAGGGCAGAAGGAAACTTTCCTTCTTGTGCCGTGACTCAACTGACCCGTTTCAGAGTTCACCTCCAGGATAAGGCAACTCATGCTCTAGAAATGCATTTTGATCCTTCAAAGGGAGCACAGCTATGCTGGGAAACATGTCTTTGGCCAGATTTATGCCCTGCTTTTCCCTGAGGTTCCTCCCCTCTGCCCTGCAGACCACCACCCTCATCGGCCTCCTGAAGACGGCGCGGTTGCTGCGCCTGGTGCGCGTGGCGCGCAAGCTGGACCGCTACTCCGAGTACGGAGCAGCTGTGCTCTTCCTGCTCATGTGCACCTTCGCCCTCATCGCCCACTGGTTGGCCTGCATCTGGTATGCCATCGGCAACGTGGAGAGACCCTACATGGAGCACAAGATTGGCTGGTTGGACAACCTGGGCGACCAGATCGGCAAGCGCTACAACGACAGCGACCTCTCCTCGGGCCCATCCATCAAGGATAAATACGTCACTGCCCTCTACTTCACCTTCAGCAGCCTCACCAGTGTGGGGTTTGGCAACGTCTCGCCCAACACCAACTCTGAGAAGATCTTCTCCATCTGTGTCATGCTCATTGGCTGTGAGTGCCTGCATGTCCTGCTGTTCCCTGTCCCTGCTTCGGAGGTTGGAGGGGCTGCTCTGGGGAGAAATGGGGAGAGCACGTGGGATTTTAGGAGAGCATCTCCATCCATCTATTCTGCACAAATGGACGGGGCGATAGAAATGCTGTTTCAGAAACCCCTTGGGTCCAGGTCTGTGGTAGATACGGGTTTGGAAATGTGCTGTTCCGGGTCTGGTGTAGCTGGCCATGCATCTCCCCATGTCCTGCTGAGCCCTGCCCTCTCGTTGCAGCTCTGATGTACGCCAGCATCTTTGGCAATGTCTCTGCCATCATCCAGAGGCTGTACTCGGGCACAGCTCGCTACCACACGCAGATGCTGCGGGTCAAGGAGTTCATCCGTTTCCACCAGATCCCCAACCCCCTGCGCCAGCGCCTGGAGGAGTATTTCCAGCACGCCTGGTCCTACACCAACGGCATCGACATGAACGCGGTGAGTGCGGGGCAGGGAGGCCCCACGTCCTCACAGCACTGTGTCCTCATCAACCTGGAGTCTAGGTCAGGGTTCACCCAAACATTGGTGAGATGCTGGTTGCCCAGGGAGGCTGTGGCT